GGTTTAGGGTTTAATAGGGTTTAATAGGGTTTAGGGTTTCGAGTCACGGCTTCAGTATTGTAGCGCCCCCAATAATTACCAACACCATTTTTGTGGGTTTCCTTTATTTATAAATTCGAGTACAATGGGCCCCAAAACCCTATTCTAAGTGTTCAGGCCCCTACATTAATACGTCTTGTGGTTCAGGTTAAGGGTTTGAGGTCTAAGTCCAGGTTATCGTGTTTGGAGCAGTTTTACATATGGGTAGTTCGCTAAAATAAGGTCCTTTTGTGAATCCCCAATATATACCCTTATAAACAGGACCCTAAAAGGAACCCTGATTTAGAGAACTACACATGATAAATCTTGCCCACCGAAGCTGTTGATCACAGTCCCAAAGGGTCCAAGTACTTATATGGTAGATACTTTGGGGCCCAAAGTATCTACCATATAAGTACTTAGACCCTTTGGGAGTTTCTTGGCTCCTTCGGGTCCTTTCTTTTGCCCTGCAGGCCATCGGCGTCAACGTGGTGAAGCGCATCAGCAAGCTTCAGAAGGCTGAGGGGTTGTCGGTTTAGGGTTTAGGGTTTAGGGTTTAGGGTTGAGGGTTTAGGGTTTAGGGTTTAGTTTAGGGTTTAGGCACAGGGTTTAAAGGGTTTAGAGGCTAGGGTAGAGCTTAGATTGCGAGAACCCTAAACCCTTCTACGCATTCTCATAGTTTGGGGTGGAGAGTTTGGGTGGCAGTTCTCTTGTGTGGATAGCGAGCTGTATAGTTGTCAAAGGGCTGGCACTTGATACCCAAAGTCCCCTACCTGCAACCCTGTTCACACTCGGCGTTCTTCTGGTTGTCTCTTGGGACTTTAACTTGTTGGGTTTCTGTTTGAACTATAACAAGTAGGCTAAAATTTTAACCCTAAACCCTAAACCGGTTCAGAAGTCAGCCCAGTTAAAGAGTCCACGTTCGGGGTTCATGGCAAGAAAGGACAGGGATCTGGGACACGAAATGGGTGACTCGTCCTTCGCTGCAGTTTGCTCAGGGATTCGGGTATGTTTGGCAAGGAGATCTTGAGAAGAAGAGCCCCATCATTTTCAGCTTACACCCTAAACTCTACACCCTGTATAGGTTCTAGCAGCACAGCCACCCGTGAACTGCAGAGCCTTTGTAGTAAACAGTGTTACTCCAGGTTCTCAGCAGCTCGGGGATGAGTTTTGATTCCAGGCTGAACTATGCACTGTACAGAAGGAAGGAGAGCGACAACAGTGAGAAAGATTTAGAGGACAGAGGCAGCGGAGACATGCAAGCTTCCGGCATGCTAAGGTTTCTGGCCTTGTGGCCTGTGTCAGTAAGGAGTCGTCATGTGGAGGGATCGTACGAATCGTATCGGATGCCACCAAATGGAGAAGAATCAACAATGTCACCTTGCAGCCCTGGTATAATCATAGTCTCCTTTATCCCCCAACCCTGCTCAGACAGAATTTCGGACTCCCAGATAGAACTGTTCAGACTTCTCATCTCAATGTGGTATTCCCTCCCTTTTTTAGAGCCGAAGGGTTTGGGGCGCCATCCTCAACCATAAACCCTTATGAGGATCCACGGACCTGCAAGGGCATGTTTTGTCAGTGCCGGTTTAGGGTTTAGGGTTCAGGGTTTAGGGTGTTTTGTCAGTGCCGGCCTAGGATAGCTCAGTTTGAAAGTATCTCCGGACCCAAACGCCCACACTGAGAATCGCAATCCAAGCCGGCAGAGCACTGTAGTTCTGCTCTGCCTTTCGACATGCCATTGCCTGTGGATCATCATGGATCATCCTGGCATCGATGTTTAGGTCCGAAATGGCAAATATGCAGGGTGGCAAGGACCTCATCAGCTAGCTTTTGCAACACCTTGTCTTAAAGCCGTCAGGCGTACCCATGAGCAGTAAGCTGCAGACTCTTGACATCAGAATCCCTATCCCGCACGTCCATCGGACTTCAACCTCCTACTTGGAGGCCCAGGGGACTTAGTAACGTTTCTAGGTAGGGTTATAATTGGGGTAACTCCAGTTGGTGTACTTATAACTCTACTTACAACCGACTTGCTAACTCCCCTGGACCTCCAAGTAAACCCTGCATGCCTCACCCTTGGCCTTAGTCTGTAAGCCAGTAGAAGAGCCTTGCAGCCTCCACCTTGTCTGCGCTCTGAACCCTACACTCTACACCCTCAAACCAGCCCCAAATCCTAAACCCAAACCCCTAAACCCGCAACCCTGAATCCGAAACCCTAAACCCTCAACCCTAAACCCTCAACCCTAAACCCTCAAGCCCCTGAACTGAACCTCCCGGCGAGGTCTGGGACCTCCCACAGGCACCTGAAGACCAGGTTTGCCCGGAGGCCTGAAAGTTTGGGGGTTTAAGGGTTTAGGGG